CTCTGAACGGAACACCGTAGTGAATGCAGCTTGGTTCTGTGCGGTTCTTTATATATGACAAAATTAATGCTAACCAACCAATCACCAAGGTGAGTTGCATAATCTCCAGACACTTTTCCAGACGCGTTAATAGGTTTAGTTGCATAATCTCCAGACAGTTTTCCAGACGAGTTAATTGAACTTTTGCCCCGTTTCTTTTATTAGCATATTTCCTGGTGGGAACTTTATAGATGGGTTTCCATCAAAGAGTTTTTTTGTACTAGCACAGGTAGCCCAAGTTCGAAATATAAGCACCGGCGACCATCGACATTGTTGCATAACATTCGAAATATAGGGATTTGTATTGGAAAAAAAACCTATCGTTTCCGTAACCTACGAAAATGAAAGGATTTCAATAAAAAAACAGCTTAGCTTACATAAAATGTGTGTTACGTCTCTCCTGTGTGATCCATGAGCTGATTTATGGCTGTTTTATGGGTTGTACCGTAAACGGTTTTCTCTCTATATTAAGGCCCAGCGCTTTATTAATATCTAATCTACAGGAGTCAGTCCAGGTAAACCTTTATATAGAGAAAAAATGTGATGTATTCCTGTGTTTTTTGGTGTGAATTCATCGATTTAGTCCCGGGGGGGGGGGTACTTAAGGAATTTCTGGGTGGGGATGTGCCGCTTAACCTATACCAGAGCTAGTTCAGCTGAATTTTGCTACCCTATACTAGAGTAAACTCCCCAAGTCTCCCCTATCCTAGAGTAGAAACTACTGAGGTCACTAGCACAGTCTAGCCAAAACAAAACCTTCTACCACAATCCTTAGTCTAGATAAAATCTTCAACCAACTGATCAGTTTCCTGAAAAATGATACCCTATTCTAGACCCAAACTCTCTGATTTATATACCCTATCCTAGATCAGAGTAAACTGCTTGAAAACCATACCCTTCACAACGGCACACACCTATATAGCCCACATATGGCAGTACCCCCGTCCGGGGATTTAGTCAGAGTTTTGTGGCTCCTATTGATTGACCCCTGTCACTCTTCATATTATTACAGAGCCAAAAAACACAGGGATACATCAAAGGTAAGTCTCCTTTATTTATTCTATAGAAAAATAAGTAAGAATAATGATATTTAGCGTTCGCAGACCTCAGTGTTTTACAAGGAATCAACGGTTGCTTGTAACGCGACACCGACTCTCTTGTGCGAAAGTTAATTTACATAACACACTCGTAACGTGAGCTTGGGACACCTGTGGTGAGAGCCAAACTATGAAAAAGGTTATTTTAAACACGCACTGGGGGTCGTGTAGGCCTGTCAACCCCATTTTACAAAGGCGTCTGATCACGTACGCAAGCTACAATGTGGCACGAAATTTTTGCGGGTTCTAATTTTTGCGATTTTTGCGGTTTTTCCAGCGATCCGCAAAACTAATGAGTTCCCGCGAATAAAAATTACCGCAAACATTTTTCCCGCAAAAAATTACTCCAGAGTAAATATTCTCTTTTCAAAAATACAGTACTAAGAAATCGTGTCTGTTCAATCACAACTTGTCAAAAACAACGAAATACTGGTTTATTGTTTGAAAATATGTATTTCTATTGCACGTACTCAATAAAAACGAAAATATTATCAATGCTGGGTACTGGGTACTTTCTGAAAATCGCAAAAATTAATTCCCAGCATGGAAAACCAATCTGTCCTAATCGCAAAAATTAGTTCCCGCAAAACACAAAAAATCGCCAATCCCCAAAAAATGAAACTCCCGCAAAAATTTCGTGCCATACGGTAGTCTAGACAGCCGTAATCTTAAATTTTGTCTCTCATTTGTTTCATTCGCATCCTGATGTGGCCGGCATCCATAAAAGACCTTTTTTGACAACTATAGCCTGCCGCACCTTTACTTTGGCAGCTTCAAGTTGTTTGCATGAGCAACTTTTTTTGTAACAACTTGTCTGTTTCCGGCTGTTTGCAAAGAAAACAAAATGAATAAATAAAAAGAAGAGAGGATAACTCTTGATAAAAAACGAGAACTCGTTTTCGTTCCAGGGCAAAAGAAGTATTCGTCTTATATTACATAATTACTACAAGTCGGCAATTTTCAGTGAACCAGTTTGATTTCAATTGAAAACAAATACAAAGTGTATTATGTTTTTTTGAGAGAACATTCAAATGCAGCTAACGGAAGATATTGACTCATGTCTTGTGACGTATTATTTTGGCACAACGTTGTGACTTGTACCATCTCGTCTCCCTCGCAGCACATCCGGGGGGTGCTCGTCGGACATTTTGAATTAAAATCAATCTGGGCGTGGCCAAAGCTTTTTTTGATCCCTAAAAGAGACCATGTTAAGACACGTGCAACCCTAAACGAGACCTTCACGGCTAAATATGATGGCGTTTTGTCCAGAACTAGCCTGTGAACAGGCTCTCTGTTTGGGGAAAAAAGACCAAAATCCGAAATTTACACCTCTAAGCGAGACGACGAGCTTCCCCACCCCTTTCATATGCGGAGTTCCCCCCCCCCCCCGGGCAGCACATGTTTTTGTCTCGTACCTTGCAGCCATTGACCAAGCCGGTAAATGTTGCTTAAATGAGCCACAATGCTCTATAATCGGCGTAGTTTATCTTGTTTCAGAAACTGAACACTTGTAAATTAAACATTAAAAGCGTTTATTAAATTGAAAGGGATATTCAATGGAACAAATGATTTTCTAGTACAAAAAAAAACTCTTATGGAAACCCACCAGGAATTATGCTAGTAATAAAAAATGGGACAATAGTTCGATTATCGCGTCTGGAAAACTGTCAGGAGATTACGCAATTAACCTTAATTGATTGATTGGTTTAAATATATAAGGAGCCTCGCAGAACCAAGCTGCATTCACTTCAGTGCATGACTCTTCAGGGGCACCCAACGTCCATTTTCGGAAAATATCTGTTCGGAAGACGATTTGAGATCTAGAATTTTCGGAACATTTTTTGTAAAATTCCTTGCTTGCCTACCTCTCCTAGGATTTTCGAACAGCTAAAAATTGGTGTTTACGTAATTACCCATTTTTAACGGATTTTTACCCTAAAAAGCTCACCTAGAATTTTCGGGAGCCTTTTTTCTGGCTGAAATTTTCGAAAAGGTAAGTTTTGATCCCTATGATTTTCGGATCTCGAGACTTTCAGCTAGGAAATCCGAACAGATGAAAAATTTTTAGGGGATAAAAATATGCCTATATCTACCGTTTAAATACTAAAATACGTTTAACAATGCTATGTTTAAGTGGTTTTGAACTATATTCTCGTTGGGTGCCCCTGGCTCTTTCGCAGACGGAGCTAAGAACTGAGAAATTCCAAGCCGTTTCCCCTTCCTACTTGTTCTCCACCATAGTAAGTTTAAATCTAATATAGAACGTACAGTCAGTATTTAAACCTCTAGTCAAATTACCATCTCTGCAGCGGCAAGCTTTCCGCAGTCCACAGCTGTCTGACCTGTCTCTCTTTTTTGTCCCGATTCAAATTTGATGTGAACCTGTCCCGGGAACTTGTCTACAACGCCCACCTGTCATCAACGGTACAATGGGCACCTTAATTGCTTTCCACAGTCAAGAAAATCTACTCTTCACAACGGCAATTTGGAAAAAAAAAATAACACTACTAACACTGACTTGCATGAACAAAGTGATATACTAACCGTGCTTACGTCGCTTGGTTTTTTTAACATTTTTGTTTTGAACATTATTTTGTTTTTTGATTGATTTTGACTATGTTAAGTAACTGACTACGCCAAATCGAGCTCTTGTGAAACTACAATTATGATCCACCCTTTGTTGATGGCATGAACTGCGAAATAATTTTAAACGATGCTCATGGAAATTATTTTTACGGTGAGAATATGTACCTATACATTGTTAAACCTGTTTTGATAAATAAAACTTTTTCGCTGTTTTTCAATTTCACAGAGTATAATCGCTAAACAAATGACCTACAAGGTTTATATGGAAGGCACAGTCAATGGACACGCCTTTGAGGTTAAAGGCGAAGGAGAGGGACAGCCTTACGAGTAAGTTAAATGTCTGTTTAATATAGATAGCGTTTTTGCAGTCGATCCTGTTTTCATTTCCATGCTATTCTAAAACTTCGGGCTACAGATTTTGAGAGGGTAGACCAGCAGAGCTTTGGCAGTTGAAATCGGTTTGATATCTTCTGTTCGGCAGTGAAAACTGTTGATTATTATTATTACTACCTTATTTGGCCTGGACGCGTATGCGGTTCTGTGGTGACCACGGTATGGTTTTCAGGTTTCCCGAAATTTCGGACGGACAAGCCGTTTCTTGTCTTGAACAGGGTGACTTTTTGGACCTTTAACAGTCTGTGAAGGTTGGTGATGAGCGGTCTACATGGTCCTACATGCATGGTGTGGTACCGACAATGTTTTCATCGAAAAATATATCATGAATTCCATGCGTTCGAATGAATGATTTTTGTCTGAAACTGACAAATTCGGGTTATGAGGCCCTTGGAGGCAAGCCTTTACCCGGCAAACTTCCCTTGAGTGACCTTCCTGATTAATTAAGTGGTAATAAATTACAAAGAGGCCTTCCTTCTGCCCATCCCGATCGTAGACGGTGAGCAGTCTCTCTTTTCCTTCAGATTTAGTGAAGGGAGTGCGCGCGCGCGAACGTCGATATGCGTGAATAAAGTGAACGAAAATTACTGAATTTTAGTGGATAGCATTTTCCTTATAGTTTTTTAATCAACTACTGTTTAATATAAGTTTGTTTTAGTTTATAAGCCGAGATTATATAAATTGTAATGCAAATTAATTCTTTTTCTTCTTAGAGGGGTGCAGACCGTAAAGCTCACTGTGACCAAGGGAGGACCTCTGCCGTTTGCTTGGGATATTTTGGCGCCACAGACTCAGTATAGAAGCATACCATTTACCTAGTACCCTGACGACATCCCGGACTATGTAAAGCAGTCATTCCCTGAGGGATATACATGGGAGAGGATCATGACTTTTGAAGATGGTGCAGTGTGTACTGTTCTCAATGATTCCAGGTACTGAAGGAAAAGATAATTGAACAAAAAAGTTTTAAAAAAGCAATGAGTCTATCGGTATAGGAAGCATGAGTATTATTAAGTCTCCCATCAAGTTTTTGCTCCCTAGAAAAAGCTAATGGACCTAATGATAAGGTGGTAATGAATGTCGGTGAAGCAGACTTGGTTATTCCCAACCACTAAAGTTTCAATTATTGAAAATCCGCCATATCGAGGGGCTGCCCGCACGCTCACTTGGAAATGCGCCTGCACTTATGAGAAGCGGTATATGATAAATATCCACCACCTTTCCTTTGTAACTGTCTTTGTTTTCTCTTTACCAAAAGAATGAACGGCAACTGTTTCATCTACAACGTTAAGTTCACTGGGGTGAACTTTCCTCTCAATGGGCCTGTTATGCAAAAGAGGACACAGGGCTGGGAACCGAACACTGAGCGTCTCTACGCACGTGATGGGATGCTGATAGGAAACAACTTTATGGCTCTGAGGTTGGAAGGTGGTGGTCATTATACGTGTGAATTCAGAAGTACTTACAAGTAAGTTATCAAAATTGTTATTTTTCCTATATTAAAGAGGGTCCCCCAGTTAATTTGCTCGTTCGCAGTTGCCTCGGCGATTTAGGATGTTGACGCTTGTCGGGAGAATTCGCCTATCATGCTCGGTTCTAATAGCGCAAATTGGCCAGGGGATGAGGCTATTTCAGGAAATCGAGATTCGGGATCGAAAAAGAGGACGATTGTAATTACAAGCGGGATACGGGATTCAGCCATTTTACACTGATGCGTTCTGTAAATTAGTTGTTGTAATCCTGTAGAAAGAATAGAAAAATTTTGGCTGAATTGAGTTTGCCCACATTTTCTCGACCTTGCTTGTCACGTGCTCATTAAGATTGCACCACTTTTTTTTTTTTTTTCTCAATTCACGCAGTGTCCGAAGACTAGACAAAACCAAGCCTCATGTGAGGCCGGAGGTATACTCGACCAATATTTGAGTATAGACGAGCCGCTCAGGATTTTAAACCCTGACCCTGTTTAGGACAAAAACAAATCCTAAAATACATCATTCTCTCTTGAATACATATAACCCTATTTAAGACAACATTCTCAGTTTTATTACTCTCGGTTTAGGACAAAAGACAAAATGCGCGCCGTCTTGTGTTAAAGCCATTGATTGGCAACTGAAATTCACGTTACAGTCTTTTGTCTACTTGGAATACAAATAAATTTTATCTAGCAAATCAAATCAATCGTGCAGGCAATACCTGTTTATAATTTGGACAGACTCGCACGAACAAACTCACGAGAAATTGTATACCCTGTTTAGGACAGAGATAGCCTGCATAGCAAGCGTTTCCTCACGAGTTTGTCGAGAAAGTTGGGACGAGAGCAAAAAAAAAAAAAAGGAATGAGGGGGGAGGGGGAGGGGAATGAAGTAGCCTGCATAGCAAGCGTTTCCGCGCGAGTTCGTCGAGAAAGTTGGGACGAGAGCAAAAAAAAAAAAAGGAATGACGGGGGAGGGGGAGGGGAATGAAGTAGCCTGCGTAGCAAGCGTTTCCGCGCGAGTTCGTCGAGAAAGTTGGGACGAGAGCAAAAAAAAAGAAAGGACGGGGGAGAGGGAGGGAATGAAGTAGCCTGCGTAGCAAGCGTTTCCGCGCGAGTTCGTCGAGAAAGTTGGGACGAGAGCAAAAAAAAAGAAAGGACGGGGGAGGGGGAGGGGAATGAAGTAGCCTGCGTAGCAAGCGTTTCCGCGCGAGTTCGTCGAGAAAGTTGGGACGAGAGCAAAAAAAAAAAGAAAGCCAAATTTCAAATTCCATTTCAATCTGAAACACACGCTTTCTTATTAAGAGCCCTCTTTTTGTCTGGTAGACTACATATTTGATCAAAAAGTTAAACGTTAAAAGACTTTTAAAATACATTTAAAAAACATTTTAAAAAGTGAACGACGTTTCGGCGCTACGTTACGCCATTATCAAGTTGAAAAGTGAAAAAGTATCAGGTGTAAAACGTTTTACACCTTATACTTTTTCACTTTTCAACTTGATAATGGCGTAACGTAGTGCCGATTGTTGTTCACTTTTTAAAATGTATTTTAAAAATCTTTGAGCGTTTAAATTTTTGATCAAGACTACATATTACATTATATTAAAAAAAGAAAGAAAATAAGTGAATAAAAAATGTAATCATTTTCACCTTTCAATAAGCTAACATCGGTGGAACTTACCAAAATTTGTCAGAATCCGAAACAGAAACCGTATTTGGTTGGAACATCAGAGGAAAAGGATTGTGGACGAGGCGAGGATTTATAAAATGTGTCACATAATGTAGCTTTTAACGATTAAATCCGCAATGTATTAATTGTTTCTCGGTTCCGATTGTAGCACTTGAAATAACTGAATATGTACCTTTTGATACTTCGGCATTAAAAAGCACACCGACAAAAAATCAATTTTGTTTGCTTTTTGTTTTTTTCCAAGTTGTAATCTAAAATATTACAACGATTACCACTCGCAAAATTACTTTTCCATTAGTGGATTATCCAAATATAAAACGTGAAATTAGGGAAAAGACTCAATTTTCGTCAGTTCACCGACGTTTTCGGCAATTTGATAAGCAGATTTAGCAAAGACAATACAACATCAAATAAGAATACGAAAGCGCGCGAAAAAGGACCCGCGCTCAATTAGCCGATCTCCCATTGGTCAAGTTAGGTTTTAGATCTGCTCGCACCGGTCGTCCCCATCAACGCTTTGTCTTTACTAAGACTATGTTCAGTACACATTTTACCAGCTAGCTTTTGGTGCCGACACGAAAAGCTAACCGGTATAGTATGAAAAGCAATAGACCTTGTCACGGTTTTCGACGCCATCTTGACGAGTAGGCAAACGCGTGAGAAATTACAGTGTTTGTATGAGAATCGTATGTCGAATAATTTCCGTAAAACGGCTGTTCTGAACAAAATATCAATTGTAAACTAAAGCTACAAAGCAAAGGATTGTCCTAAAAAAATTGGGGGGCGTACCCGGGCTTAAATATCTCCAGAGGCTTTCTTTAGATTTTCCATATATTTGTCTGTAATTTTCCCGGGACTTTCTTACAGACAAATGTATAGCGGAAAATTTTAAAACGTGGTTCTAGGTCTTCTAGAACATGTAACGCCCTCAATTTTTTTCAGGAGAATCCTTAGGAGCGAAGCTTTAGTTTACAAATCATATTTTTTTCAGAACAGCCGTTTTAAGGAAATTGTTCGACATTAGATTCTCATACAAACACTGTAATTTCTCACGCGCTTGCCTACTCGTCAAGATGGCGTCGAAAACCGTGACAAGGTCTATTAACGCCACAGCACTGGAACAAGTCGTTCACACATATCGAGCATCGTGCCGGAGCGGATGGCCGAGAGGGCTTGGTGAATTTATCCCAGTCCTCACTCCTGAATTTTTACTTCCGCCTCGGTGGATTCCAGTCCTCGCTCCTACTTATCCACTATAATCCTCTACTGTCCGAGTACTGTTTACACTGCACCAAAGTGTGGCACAGAACCTATCCGATATGTAACACTCACTCAGGAGATCGGCGCGGAGCAGCTATTTTCTCCGTTACGACGCTTCGTCAAGTGTTTTATTTCTTAATACAAAATCTTCCTTCCTGTCCCTTTAGTCCGATACGAAATCTATACTGAATTCCTGTAATCGGTTCCTCATATAGTAAATAGCTTAATAATGGCAATTCCTCCAATTTACTAAACCACACCAAACTATACCAACTACAGCAGCTATACCCAACTACATCAAACTATACCAAAGTCACTTTACATTGTATTGTCAGTTAATTTATTACTCGGTTGAAAATGGCGAAAGCTAATCTAGGTATTCGTGAAAAGCGGTTATATAAGGCTGTTGTACATGAATTGACTACTGATATACACTGCAGGGAAATAGCCGATCATTAACTAATAACTACATAAGTTCCTTCTTATAAGTTATACAGGTAATTGCAGGATCTGCGATCCCCCAAAACATCGAATCCTCGTCTCTAAGGGTCTTCTAGTTTTCGGGCCGAGGTCTGTCAGACATTATTTACTAAGCAGAAATTACTACTTCTCACGAACGCAAGTTTAAGCCGAGAGATGCGTATATTTCAGTTTTTGAGAATCACAGTTTCTCAGTTGTTTCGTTGCGCCGTAATGCGTTTGAAGCTGGGAAGGCCTTTTTGAGAAGTTCTAAACTCATTAGTCTTAATTTATTGATAAACGTGAGGATTTGTTTACGATGATTTATACATTATTAGCTCATTATTGCAGTCTTTGGTGGATTTTTTTACTGCTTTATTGCTGATGCTTGCTTACTTGCTGATTTTGCTGGCTATATATATTTCTTTGTTGCTAGCGTATATAATGTCAAGTCGTCCGGCTAGGAATAAAAGACTGGCAGCACAAGTAGTCATTGATGTTGTTATCACACGTATCACAGCTTTGTTGCTATGTTACTGTTAGTTGTTTTTTCAGCTGTTGTTGCTGTCGCTGTTGTAGTAGTTGTTGTTGTCGTGTTTTTTTTATAGGCCATCTCTTTCTGCTCTCGCCGTGTGAAAACTTGGCCTTGCTAATGGCTGTACTTCTTGGTGGCGTCTTAACAAATTCCTGAGTGCTCGTCGCATTTCTTTGCTCCGTCCGAAGTTCAGTAAAGGATTTAAAAGCGAATTGAGTAACAGAAAAAAGCCAGAAAAAGGGAAAGTAGCCTGCACATTTACATTTTGGGCAAAAGCATGAACTAATGCTAGAAGTGTACCAGGAATAAAGGTTACTAAAAACAGGAAAAGAATAACGGCAACGGTGTTAGCCATTTGTTTTTCTCTTTTCAATATGGCGGGGATAAGAATTACATTCCCAGGTGCTTTTCTTTTGCAAAACACGCCGAGATATGAAAAGATAATCATTAAGACACAAACAACACAAAACAAAAGAAAAAAGATTTGCGCAATAGCAATCGGGAGAACAAACTTTCTCGAGAAGTATATCAAAATTGAAATAGTGGCGCTAGCCAACCAAGTTCCACATATCAAGTAAAATGCACGTGAGGTGGTCACGTGATTGCGATACCAGTAGGGTTTATTCAATGCCAAATAACGATCTTGGCTGATGACTGCCAAAGTTCCAAGGGTTGCTGTGAGACAGAGGGCGGAAAACGTGCTTGTTTCAACACTTGGAAGTTTTGGACAAAAAAACTCGTCCGCCAAAAACGCAAGACATCTTGAAAGGAAATAAAACGAATAGAGTAGATCTGTTAATGCTAAACTACACAGCATCAGCAGCGAAGGTCGTTGTAAAGACTTGGTTCTTGCAACGGTGATGACAACAAACCCATTACAAAGGGTTGCCACAGTGATCAACACGACGTTTACGGGAATGACAACATGATTGGCAAAGTCTCTCGCTGGAAGTTGAAGTTCTTGAGGGAGGACGGTAATCAAACAGCGTTGATATGGAGGCTGGCTAGAATTGTCTGCAGTATTCATACCCTTCTGTAAAAACAGAAAGCAAGATTGAAATAAATGTAGAAAAAAAGAAACTTATAACACGATCAAGTACTGGGAAGGTTGTGTCAACTCAGGCGTGGATTGTTTAACACTTGAAAGGGGAGGGAAGCAGAGGAAAAGTTACTTAAATTTCTAGCAAAATTGTTTGATTAATCGAATGGAAACTGTTTGTTTTCTATTTAAGTCTCACACTTTAGCTAATCAGCCACAGAATGCGTCGAAAACCTAACTCCTTTACTACGTATACGATACTGTCGCATCTGCAATAAGTGGCAAAAAGAAACCGATTTATTTTATTTTTTGTCAGTTTTAAATGAGGCTGCAGAATAACCGAGTAACCGAATACGTTGCATAACCGCATAATTAACGTTACTGTTTTTATTTTGGTCGAAAACGGACAACTAAACGCGACAAAATAACAAGAAGCAAAACAAAAACAAAACAAATGGAAAAAGGCAAAAATCGCAAAATGCTGGAGATACTAAAACTGAAAAAGGGATCGGAAAAATGATCACTTCCCCTGCGAGAGCGAGATTACTAATGCTCTCTTTCAAAATTTTCTTTTCTCCCCAAACTTACGCAATTTCTGTTTCGACGGTAATTCTTCCCAAGAGAAATGCAAAACTGGGTGAGGAAGAGTACACTCGATGGGCTGGCGTAAGGATGCTTTTCATCAAGCAGAATTTCCGAAAATTTCGGTCGGAAAATAAATAGAATTGAACGCTTTGGTCAAAAATTACAGGGATACGGGATACCTTCACCATCATTTGCTTGCATGGCCCAGGTTGAGGCCCCGGTTTCGTCCTTTTCACATGTTTATGCAGGTTGAGGCGGTTTGTCGTTGGCGTTATAAGATCCTCTTTTTTTTCTGCCGGTTCCCTGGATTTACCTTAGCCTCCGCCACAGAAAAATATAGTAAAAATCTAAACCTAGCCGGGGCTGGATTACTTATGCTTCGCAGGTTAGTTTTACCTTCTCCTCAAAAAACCTTCAAAATTTCAAATTCCATTTCAATCTGAAACACACGCTTTCTTATTAAGAGCCCTCTTTTTGTCTGGTAGACTACATATTTGATCAAAAAGTTAAACGTTAAAAGATTTTTAAAATACATTTAAAAAACATTTTAAAAAGTGAACGACGTTTCGGCGCTACGTTACGACATTATCAAGTTGAAAAGTGAAAAAGTATCAGGTGTAAAACGTTTTACACCTTATACTTTTCAACTTGCCAGTAATGGCGTAACGTAGCGCCGAAACGTCGTTCACTTTTTAAAATGTTTTTTAAATGTATTTTAAAAATCTTTTTAGCGTTTAACTTTTTGATCAAGACTACATATTACATTATAGTAAAAAAAGAAAGAAAATAAGTGAAGAAAAAATGTAATCATTTTCACCTTTCAATAAGCTAACATCGGTGGAACTTACCAAAATTTGTCTGAATCCGAAACAGAAACCGTATTTGGTTGGAACATCAGAGGAAATGGATTGTGGACGAGGCGGGGATTTATAAAATGTGTCACATAATGTAGCTTTCAACAATTAAATCCGCAATGTATTAACTGTTTCTCGGTTCCGATTGTAGCACTTGAAAAAACTGAATATGTATCTTATGATCCTTCGGCATTAAAAAGAACACCGACAAAAAATCAATTTTGTTTCCTTTTTGTTTTTTTCCAAGTTGTAATCTAAAATATTACAACGATTACCACTCGCAAAATTACTTTTCCATTAGTGGATTATCCAAATATAAAACGTGAAATTAGAGAAAAGCCTCAATTTTCGTCAGTTCACCGACGTTTTCGGCAATTTGATAAGCAGATTTAGCAAAGACAATACAGCATCAAATAAGAATAGGAAAGCGCGCGAAAAAGGACCGGCGCTCAATTCGCCGCTCTGCCATTGGTCAAGTTAGGTTTTAGATCTGCTCGCACCGGTCGTCCCCATCAACGCTTTGTCTTTACTACTCAGGGGCAAACCCAACGAGAATATGGTTCAAAAAGGCACTTAAACATAGCATTGTTAAACGTATTTTAGTATTTAAACGGTAGATATAGGCATATTTTTAACCCCTAAAAATTTTTCATCTGTTCGGATTTCGTAGCTGAAAGTCTAGTGATCCGAAAATTATAAGGATCAAAATTTACCTTTTCGAAAATTTCAGCCAGAAAAAAAGCTCCCGAAAATTCTAGGTGACCTTATTAGGGTAAAAATCCGTTAAAAATAAGCAATTATAACATTTTTTAGATGTTCGAAAATCCTAGGAGAGGCAGGCAAGGAAGAAATTTTACAACAAATGTTTCGAAAATTCTAGATCTCAAATCGTCTTCCGAACAGATATTTTCCGAAGATTGACGTTGGGTGCCCCTGTTTACTAAGACTATGTTCAGATAGCTTTTGGTGCCGACACGAAAAGCTAACCGGTATGGTATGAAACTGCAATACACCTTGTCACGGTTTTCGACGCCATCTTGACGAGTAGGCAAACGCGTGAGAAATTACAGTGTTTGTATGAGAATCGAATGTCGAATAATTTCCGTAAAACGGCTGTTCTGAACAAAATATCAGTTGTAAACTAAAGCTACAAAGCAAAGGATTGTCCTAAAAAAAATTGGGGGCGTACCTGTGCTTAAATTTCTCCAGAGGCTTTCTTTAGATTTTCCATATATTTGTCTGTAATTTTCCCGGGACTTTCTTACAGACAAATGTATAGAAAATTTTAAAAAGTGGTTCTAGGTCTTCTAGTGCATGTAACGCCCTCAATTTTTTTCAGGAGAATCCTTAGGAGTGAAGCTTTAGTTTACAAATCATATTTTTCTTCAGAACAGCCGTTTTAAGGAAATTATGCGACATTAGAGAGGACTTGGTGAATAAATCCCAGTCCTCACTCCTGAATTTTTACTTCTGTCTCAGTGGATTCCAGTCCTCGCTCCTACTTATTCACTATAATCGTCTACTGTCGGAATACTGTTTACACTGCACCAAAGTGTGGCACAGAACCTATCCGATATGTAACGCTCACTCAGGAGATCGGCGCGGAGCAGCTTTTCTCCGTTACAGAAATCTGACCAAAATCACCGTTCTTATGTGTGAACATACTGACGCTTCGTCAAGTGTTTTATTTCTTAATACAACCTGATATAAATATTTTAATAATGGCAATTCCTCCAATTTACTAAACCATACCAAACTATACCAACTACAGCAGCTATACCCAATCACACCAAATTATACCAAAGTCACTTTATTGTCATTTAAGTTATTATTCGGTTGAAAATGGCGAAAGCTAATCTAGCTGCTCGAGAAAAGCGGTTATATAAGGCTATTGTACATGAATTGACTACTGATATACACTGCAGGGAAATAGCCGATGATCAACTAATAACTGCATAAGTCCCTTCTTATAAGTTATACAGGTAATTGCAGGAGCTGTGAGCCCCCAAAACTGGATCCTCGTCTCTAAGGGTCTTCTAGCTTTCGGGACGAGGTCTGTCGGCCATTACTAAGCAGAAATTACTACTTCTCACGCGCGCAAGTTTAAGCCGAGAGAAGCGTATATTTCAGTTTTTGAGAATCACTGTGAATTTCTCAGTTGTTTGGTTGCGTCGTAATGCGTTTGAGGCTGGGAAGGCCTTTTTTAGAAGTCAGTCTAAACTCCTTAGTCTTATCTTATTGATAAATGTGAGGATTTGTTTACGATGATGTATACATTATTGCAGTCTTTGGTGGATTTTTTACTGCTTTATTGCTGATGCTTGCTTACTTGCTGATTTTGCTGGCTATATTTCTTTGTTGCTAGCGTATATAATGTTAAGTCGTCCGGCTAGGAATAAAAGACTGGCAGCGCAAGTAGTCATTGATGTTATCACACGTATCACAGTTGTTGCTATGCTACTGTTAGTTGTTTTTTCAGCTGTTGTTGCTGTCGCTGTTGTCGTTGTTGTTGTTGTCGTGTTCTTTTATTGGCCATCTCTTTCCGTTCTCGTCGTGTCAAAACTTAGCCTTGCTAATGGCTGTACTTCTTGGTGGCGTCTTAACAAATTCCTAAGTGCTCGTCGCATTTCTTTGCTCCGTCCGAAGTTCATTAAAGGATTTAAAAGCGAATTGAGTAACAGGAAAAAGCCAGAAAAAGGGAAAGTAGCCTGCACATTCACATTTTGGGAAAAAGCATGAACTAATGCTAGAAGTGTACCAGGAATAAAGGTTACTAAAAACAGGAAAAGAATAACCGCAACAGTGTTAGCCATTTGTTTTTCTCTTTTCAATATGGCGGGAATAAGAACTACATTCCCAGGTGTTTTCCTTTTGCAAAACACGCCGAGATATGAAAAGATAATCATTGAGACACAAACAACACTAAACAAAAGAAAAAAGATTTGCGCAATAGCAATCGGGAGAACAAGCTCTCTCGAGAAGTATATCAAAATTGAAATAGTGGCGCTAGCCAACCAAGTTCCACATATCAAGTAAAATGCACGTGAGGTGGTCACGTGATTGCGATACCAGTAGGGTTTATTCAATGCCAAATAACGATCTTGGCTGATGACTGCCAAAGTTCCAAGGGTTGCTGTGAGACAGAGGGCGGAAAACGTGCTTGTTTCAACACTTGGAAGCTTGGGGCAAAAAAATTCGTCCGCCAAAAACGCAAGACATCTTAAAAGGAAATAAAATGAATAGAGTAGATCTGTTAATGCTAAACTACACAGCATCAGCAGCGAAGGTCGTTGTAAAGACTTGGTTCTTGCAACGGTGATGACAACAAAACCATTGCAAAGGGTTGCCATAGTGATCAACACGAGGTTAATGGGAATGACAACATGATTGGCAAAATCTCTTGCTGGAAGCTGAAGTTCTTGAGGGAGGACGGTAATCAAACAGCGTTGATATGGAGGCAGGCTAGAATTGTCTGCAGTATTCGTACCCTTCTAAAAAAAACAGAAAGCAAGATTGAAATGAATGTAAAAAAAAAAAAGAAACTCATAACACGATCAAGTACTGAGAAGGTTGTGTCAACTCAGGCGTGGATTGTTTAAC